TGAACCAGCATGGTCCTTGGATCCTCAAATTACAATAAACATCCCCTTTACCTTCTACAATAAGCCCATGACCAAAATTATCAGTACCAGTACCACAGCAGCTGCCTGGTTCACAAACAACCGTGAATACAGTGTCCTACCTTTTCTTTTCCTGCTCCCAAATATCAGCGGCAAAAGGGAAAAGGAAGTAGAGAAAGCATCCTGGCAGAGCAGATAGGAGGACACTGTCAAATGAGCTCCTGCCAACCAAGAACTCGATCGGTGTCCTTAAACCAGGAAGTGTCAAAGGGTACCAAAACACAGAGTTTAAAACTGAACTGCTAATTCAAATTACTAAAAATAACATCCCAAACTGTGGTTTGGGTTGCAAAGGGATCAACTCTATCCTAAGATAAGAGAGTCATGAGGCATTGTAACCCGTCACCTAAGTATTCCCCAATTAAGGGCCCAAGACCTGTAAGCAACTTTTTTCATTTACATATGCATTTGTTGTTTTTACACTTCATATAGATAGCTCTTGGTTTTATTACTTCAATAAGACCTGTTCACTCATGTGTGCTGAGAATGCCTTAATGCTCTGTGAATCACAGATAACAGAGCTCTACACCTTATTTGGTGTAAAAGGAGGGAAATTGCTTGAGCAGAATGTAAAAAAAAAGTTAGCAAGAAGCTGGCTTGTTGTAAGTACAGACATTTATCAGTTATTAGTCATTAGTCGAAACTGATAATGATGGGCAGTCAAGCATAGTGCTTCTCATCTTTGTTTTCAATGACGATAAAGTGCTGCCTGCTGCCAAACAGAGCCTCAAAAAGGAGAAAGGTACTTAAACTTGCTTCAGATGAGCAACTGGGTGCATGCCAATTTTTTACATGAACAGTCATAAGCATGTTCCTGCACAGCAGGATGTGATCAAACTATTCAAAGCTGTAAAACCAGGTTTGCTTGCCAGTTATATTATTGCTTCAAGATCAGTGTATTACAGACGATACTTAGCCAGCCATGAAACCACTGTTTTTCCTTAACAACAAATTTTACACCTGTAATATTTAAAACTCTGTATAGAACTGACTGTTCCCAATTAAAAAAAAAAAAATGTACATAATGAAAGCTAGCACTGAAAACATATCAAACACATGATCTCCTGAACTATAAGCCATCTCTTATTTAGCTTTAAAAAAATCACTTCCTTCAAGCTGTACCAATTAAAAGGTCCCCTTTCTTCTCTAAACCAGAAGAAAAGTAATTGTAATGACTTACTCAAGTCCTCAGCTTCAGCTGCCAACCCTGTAATCATATTAACATTCCTGTCCATAAGGTGTGATGTGGTTAATAGGTGGTTGCTAGTTTGAGACATTGCACTGTATTGCCTCCTGCTGGAAACCACTTCTTTAAAGTATTTTATCAAAATCACACGATGTGACTACGCCATATGTAATCTTTATTAAATGTCTGTCACTAATTGGATTACTCAAGCAAGAAAGATTTTTGAAGAAAGGCAGAACTGTAGTACAACCAACTGAACAAATAAGTTTTTTCCTTGAATGGGTTAAGACAAACCTAAACATTACAGACAAGAAACTCATGTTTTACTTCTTACGACAGTCAGCATCTTTCTCCATTTTCCTTTCAGAGGATCAGTCATAAAACAGACTCAAGCTCCCCAGTATAACACAATATCTGTTCACTAACAAACATATCTTAGCAAATACAACCAAACAGTTGACTTTGTTTTTTTAAGGGGGTTGGTACAGGAGAAGATGGATGTCAATGTTTAGCCACGCTTTAGTTGTTTGTTTTTTATTCACTTTAAAATACATACTAGAAGTAGTATCAAATATTTGAGTTTATACCATTTTATTTGTTTTCACACACACAAAAAGTAGTTTGCATATTTGCTCAGCAATCTAGTGAATGATCTAAGATTACATACACATGCACAGCTCAATACAGTGATAGAAGTGCCTCTATCTGCTTCCTAGCAAGAAGTAACATTCACATTTGAAATCTCAAAAAAATATGCAGAGGTTCTTGGGTGTTACAGCTCAAAAAAACATTTTCATGACCTTTCCAAGCCATGGACAGTGCTTTTCATTTTTTGAAGAATAAAAAAATTATTAAAGTAAAATTCAAATAGAAGAATCACAACTAGCTAACCATTGTCAAGTATGCTGCAATAGCAGTGCAGTTAAATGCAACTTAACCGTATAACTACCAGAAAAAGTATTGCAAAACTGCATTTCAAAGACTAGTTGAAAGTGATCTGTATCTACTTGGTCATAGGAAATGCATAGTTTATAGAATGTCCATTCTCTAGGAATGTAACTTATTCCTTACCTGAAATCAAAGCAATGTGTTCGAGCTGTGAAGGCTTTTGTGTTATTGTTTGTTACTGAGAAGAATCAGAAATCCTACAAGTAAAACCGAAAAAGCTAGATACTACTTATATTCACTGTGCCTAATTGTCAAATGCCAGGTTATTGTGAAGAAAACCATAAAGGACAACAGATACAGCTTCATTAAACAGAGTCAGTCCAAACCCTTATTATCATATAGGCAGTTCTCTGTCATATGGACCCAGTTATGGTGGTCACTCAAATGACATTGCTGTCTCCAGCACCACACAACAGCAAGCAGGAACAGAGCAACACGGTGTTCACACGTGTCATGAAGCATTTACCTTCCATTGCCCAGTGACCTCTGAACTTTAAAAATGCCTTTTCCAGAGGATAGCCACAGCATGCTAACAGTTTACTCTATTTCTGCTTTGTCTCAGACTGTTCTCATCAATCCCCCCCCTCATATTTGATGTCACCTCCACCAAAAAGAAAAAGATTTTAACTTGCAGATGTTATGGATGCCTGAGGCAACCTCACATCTAACTTCCAATAATTTGCATTTGTTATGCTAAGCATATACATCCCCTGAATTATATCTAGTCCCTTTGTGGTCTAATGTAGGAATCCCTCTCCTATTGTTCTTGCTGTTAGCACTGTAATAACTACCACTATTGCAATGTTAACAAAAGACTACTAATAATTCATGTACGGTACGAATTCCCAAGGAATCATCAAGTGAAAAACGCAGGTTGAAATGGTAGCTTCAATTCCAAGGACCTATCTTGTAGATTCAAGAGTTACAGCCATAAAAGCATCACATATGTGAAAACACAACACATGATCAATAGACTTCTATTAATAATAATTCATTTAAAACAATAGTATTATAAATTGCAAAAGGTATCACAATAGTACAGCTTAATGCCAAATATTTAAATTTTCATTTGGCAGGGACTTATTATTTTATTAATTTATTTTTTCAGCTGCACTGTCCAGTTAACATCACCTGTGCTTTTTGCTGACAGGCCTAAAGATGGCTTTGCTAGTTGTGGCACTTGAGCCATTACTATATAAAATAATTATCTTTATTAATTTCCAAGCTGATTACTTGGAAAAGATTACTCCTTAAACAGGCAGCTTAAAAATCCATTCAGTTAAAATGTATATTAAAATGCCCTACAACGATATTCTTCTGACATTCATAAAAGTTTTATGGTCCAAGTATGCCTGAAAGCCCACTTTAACAAACAAGCAAAAACTGACAAAACAAAAATCAAAATCTCAAAAGACCCTTCTCTTTTGCTGAAAGCTTTTCTCTTATAAGCTGCTCACTTTTCAAATGCCCTGTGCAAAGACAAAAGAACATAAAGTTTTGCAGAACTGTTGGATGTTTTCCAGTAGCTATGCTACTCATCATTACTATAAAAACGAAAGAAAGTAGACTGAAAAAGTAAAGTTCCACCATTAACATCTTCCAACATTAACATCCTTTGCAGTGCATATTGGATAGACACACAAAATATTTTAAGCACCAGGCAGATGGGGCTTTCAAGGTTAAAGTAGGAGTTAAACACAAAAACAATGACTGCAAAAAAGTGAAAATTGCAAGGTGTGTAGAAGGGACTCTTTTACCAGGAGACTTCTCAATACAACATAAATTCAATCAACATTATCAATACCACTCAAGATCACAAACCTGACTTTAAATCTAATAGAAATTAGTTAGATGTGGGCTAACTTTGGTAACTCACATTAAAAATCTGAATTTTCAATATTGGAAGAGTCAGATGAAATTTCTTGCCTGGGATGAATACATAAGAAGTTTCATCCAGTCTAAAATCTTGTGTTTTCCCAAGAGATATATCCCCTACTTGGACTGCTCCTCCCTACAGCCTGTTCCTATTGAGCTAAATTTAGGTTAAAATCCAGGAAAGAAAACTGTGGGGGAAAAAAAAAAACACGCAACAGAAAAACTCTTCCATGAGATGGGAAAAGCAAGGAGACTCTCCTCATGGTGAAGAGAACGAAGACAATATTGTTCTGTGAAAATAGGAAATTGCAGGGCATGAGCGATCTGAGCACAAAAAGGACCACAGGTTCTTTCAAGTCATGCAGCAGAAGCGTAAGACTTCGAGAGTCAAGGACCACATGCTGATTTTTATCTTCTGAATGTAAAGCAACAAAGGGAGGAATTGCTTGCATTGTTGCATGTGGTACTGTTATCTTCCTTTAATGTATATTTCTGCCACTTATAACCTTTTACAAATCCTTGAGTCCCAGTTAACTGTCATGCAATGCATTATACCAATACAGCATACTGCAAAACTAAGCTTTTTAGTTTTATAGATTTTAATAGCTTTTTAGATTGGTCAATACACTGAAAACTATTTTGTTTTAAAAAAGCAGACAGCTAGTGATCAGGAGCAAAAAATACAAAAATAACTTTTCTCATGAAACGCATTGATGCCATTTCAATAGGCGCTACTACCATGAAGAAACAGTTGATCATTAATCAGCCATTTACTACAAAAGGGCTCTCTTTGAGATTTTTAACAGAGAAAAGTAAACAAAGTAATTTTCTTCTCCAAAAGTAAAGGAAAAAAAAAAGAAAAAAGAAAAAAAGAAATTTGGTATTGAGTGACTATATACTTGTAGAGACTTACTTGAGACAAAGCAGCATCCCGTTGTTCTATTACTGCATTCATTTCCTCAGCTATTATTTTCTTTTTACGTTCTTTGGTCCTGTGTATTCGATTCAGAATTATAGCTCCATTCTTCAGTATATCTATCCCTGTGTCTGCATTGTTTATTCTGTTCAGTAATTCCTGTAATGTCTACCAACAGCATTATATGTTAGTCAGACATGAAGTTTTAATATATTTTATTTAATATAGGGTTTTAATTAATAGGCACATGTGAATTGTAAATTGACTGAGTGAAGTTATTGAATTTTCATATTGCAGCAAAGATGTACATTATTAGTGTGTCAATTCTTCTTTTTCCCACATCTTAGTTCTTGAAACCCACTCAATTGAACTTAAGCCTCTAAGATATAAGACTGACATCAAGAAATCTCCTCAGAGAATGGCTTACCATGTCATTTTCTTCAGGGTTAATATTTTCTAGCCTAGAAAAAAGGGACACAGAAAGCCTGATCAGTAGCATTTCCTTAGTGCAGCAAAATGAGTTCGCTTTTTAAATCTTTAGAACCTCAAGTAATTTCATTCTACTAGTCTTTAGAGTCAACCATGACACTGAACATATTAAAGTGCCACCTGCTCGACTCCATCTTTCAATAATGCTCCATATCTTCAGCACTGACTTCAGACTGTTAAGTTATTAATGTTTACTGCTATATATGACTACAAGGATCAATTGTTCATATGTGCTTAGATGAAGAAAGTTCCCCAGTGATAGAAATGACTGATGCTCTTATTTTATTTATTTCTGGGCTTACAACTTTTACCTGATGTTGTATTTTTGTTGTTTTTACTGCACCCCAATTGAAACAGGACATGTCGTCTGTGGAGAATTTTTTTTTTTTTCATTTTAAAGTAATTTTTTTTCCACCTCTCTCTTCCAAAATGAGTAAAAAAACCTAGTTGAAGTTTCCTTAAAAATATTTTGATTTTATATCTTGCATAAAATAGCAGGCTAAGCCAATTCTCTGCAAGGCCCTTATTTAATTCTGGAACAACCCCCCCTGCACTTTCCTCCCTTTCTATTTCAACAGAACATATATTGACCTGTCAAATACAAAGATGATACCAGAAATTTAGTCATACAGCATTGAACACTGGCTGTGCAAAAACAGTGAGTGATAGTACAAAAATCTAGTAAATGGGATAGTATGCATTTTATTTTACCTCAGGTTAGTTATATGGACAGCATATTATTTAAAAACACTTATGTGTATTTTAAAATGGAAAAAAGCACTTTTCTGGAACAATGAGCATATTACCACTCCATTGCTACCTAAAGGCAACTTCTACTAAAAGTAGGTCTGTCACTAGCATATGATATTTTAAAAGACAGATATAGTACCATGAAACATCTACTAAACAGCAACACACACTTTTTCAACAGTGCTGTGACAGGTGCTGCTCTGAAGCCAAGATTTTAGCTAGCAAACATCATAGACCACTTGACAGCACACTAGCACCTTTTACATTAAAGCATTAGTTTTACCAGATAACAGGACATAAGGCATAGTAAATCAACCAGTACAGAAATTAATTCTTTAAATAAAAAAGAAATAATTCAGAATGTAGTACCACTGTACAACAGCTGCTATATTTATATGGAATTCACAAGCAGTAACTACTCCAACATATACAGTCAGCACCAGAACTAAACAAAACAAAGTAAAAGCTGGGTTTGACTGGGTTTGACTTGTATTCATAAAGTTACACAAATCATAAAATAACAAACATATTATAAGTCCATATTTTCAGAACTGGCTCCTTGACTTGGCTCCTTGCAGAGTTCCTGCTTTAGGTTTTTACATTGCTCTAAGTGCCACTTCACGTGGGACTTAAAAATGGATCTCCAGCTAGTTTGTATTCACAATGAAAGGAACGGTATTTGTCAAAGTAAATTGGCAGGACTGACCCGGCTTCTCCAGAGGACTTCTACCCTGCTAAAAGTGTGGGTCAACAAAATCACCCAGCCGACCAACAGGCTGGGTAAGCAAGACACCTTAGGGAGAAATGGGGGTGGGAAAAAGAGTAAGAACTTCTACCATAAGTATAGCCCTTCAGCATACTACTGCCACAAAGGATCTGTCTGTAGGTGTACATACACCTCCTTAAGTGACAGTATTTTTTAAAGAGCAGCATCCAAAGCTGTGTATTTGCCCTGCTGCCTCTTCCTGTGCTGTGCACAGGCAATAAGTGATCCTTAGATCTCTCATGATTTTAAACAGCAGTAACGAAGGATTCCTCTTCTCCCCATTTCTACACACATTCTGCTAATGTAACCCCTAGGGCCAACAGGACTGAAAGAATTTTGGTTGTTACAGTTAAATAATGACAGCAGAATTGCTCCAGCTGCTAATTTAAAGAAAGCATTAAAGCATTTGATAAAGGTTGGCAGGCTGTTCAATATTGCCCTCTTGTAAAGATCTCTGATTGGAATAAGTCCAAAGCAGATGGAAGGAGTGACCTGTGCTCTAAAACTTGATCAGTGTGGCACAAGTAGCCAACGTTCTTTAAAAAACCCACAAACCTCTATGTGCTCCACGTCTGAGGCAGAAAATTTGACCTTTTGAACAACCAGCATCAGGAAGAAATATTAGGGGTGGTAGTTGGAAAAGTTCCAAGATTCCAGAAGAAACTCCAAAATTAAATAAAATAAACCAAGTCCCTCATGGCTCATCCCATCATCTCTGCTCCTTCCAAAGGATTAGTGGAGTAGTGAGGTGAACTCAAAAAAAATTTCCATTCAGCCACAGTAGTAAACTACTTAGAATAAAGAGGCTGAGAAAAGTAATTTCCTCATGGGGTTGACTCTGCTTCTGAGAATGCAGCACCTCAATTTGACTCTTCTCAGTCACAGCCCTGGCTTGCTTCTCCTATTGCAAAATGCCAGACATCCAGGCAGATATAGAAATGCATGTTTTGTCACCTCAGCTGAGATGTTACCACAGTTAGTAAAGATGCCCAATGTTCTGAAAAGCCTGAGTGCTGGAGCCAGGCTGGTGTTCCAGCAGGACATATCTTGTTTGCAAGGTGTATGGCTGCATCAATAAGCATCCTGTAAGCTTAGAATAAGTAGACCAGAAGAAAAGCAGCTGAGCCTGATGGAGGCAATCCTGCCTTCTTGGCTCTGTAATGCCCAAAGATTTCAAAAACAGCAAAGAACTTTCTTCAAAAAAAAAGAACACAAAACCCCCCAAACCAATAATCACAACAGGAAATGTTTCTCTGTACCATACCATTGCTCTTTTTGGAAGAAATACCACATTATCTAGAAGGTGCTGCCATATAGAGGACTGATATGGGTCAGGGAAGAGCTGTGGTCAGCTTGACCTTGGTCAGTTTGTGCAAATGGATGCAGTCACTGTGGGCTGAGGTAATGTTGAATATAAATTGGTGGAACGGAGCAAGACATCTTTGAAGTTTCTTACACTGTCTGATATGGCTTAAGACATTCCTATCAAATTTGCAATTTGGCTGAGTGGGCAGCAAGGTAAGGAAAGAGGCAGATATTAACACAACTGGTGCAGTGAACATGATGATTACTTGAACATAAAGAATGATTTTTTCTTCCTGTCAGGGGATTACACATGGCAATTAATGCCCAGTAATTCATTACCATTAAGTACTTGTTGCATGGATGATTAACAAACTTTAACAAACTTTACAGTGGGAACAAATGAAGATTCTGGGCTCTCTGCCTTTGTGGCTTTTGTCAAAGGATTTTTCTTTTGCTGCTCTGATGACTTCACACTAAAACTATCAATGAAAATAAAAGCATGTAACATTTTTCAGAACCCTTCAGCAACATCTTATGTGCAAGCATAAGCCTGCTTAGGATCTGCCTAAGGATTTTGTTCATGTCCAGGATTGCCCTCAGTGACAGGTCACACAGCACCCAGGATGTGAAAGACTTTGGTATGACTCTTCCCAATGAGCTGCCATTGCCACGGTCAGTCTCTGTAATGTAGAAAGGGAGATCCTGGAAAATACTGGAACTATGATCTTACAGTACACATGCAGCCTGGCAAGGACAATTCTTTTGAATTAAATTGGTTTCATCCCCAGTCTTGTGTCCTGGTGTTTGCTGCCATGACAGCAAATATCACACAGAAGCCTGACCTGCACCCCTGCAGAATATACAGGAAGAGATACTAGCTACAGACAATGGCTCACTGGTTTAGGCAAAGAGAAATTTATATCAGATATTGAACCAACAGTAGCTGGTTAGCCCATTGCAATTTTTACCTGTGTTGGGTTGGTGTTCTCCACAGGGAAATTTCCTATGCCAATTCTGAGACTGTGAATGGCATCAGGGTATTAGGCCTCTCTATAAAGCATCAGAAAGAGCACCCAAGTGGACGACAGCAACAACAATTGCTATTCTCTAAATGATAGCAATGAGGAATAATAGCTTGGCTCTAAGCTATAAGCCAAGGGAGTTACTGACGCTCTCCTTGGAGCAAGTACCTTTTTTGTCATTACCAGTGTATCAAGTGCCTTCTGCAATTACATTCTTCTGGGGAAGGTAGTGTGCATGTTCTCCAAGAAATGGAATTTCTTCTCTTTTCTCGTCCTTCTGCTTAGAACTGAGTTGGTCTTCCAGTACATGAGTGAGGAAGACAGAAGGGGTTGAAAAGAAAACAAGTGATCGTGTTCTGAGAGATTCATGTGTGTCAAGACCTGCCACACGTGTGTCTATGGACTCCATTGCAGAAAAAGCAGCAATATGCCTCTCACACACTTAATAACCTGTGATTTCTTCCAGAAACCCAAAAGTCATTGACTAGGTCTGTCGACCAGAATAATTAATTTGCTGCAGGACTTGAGTGTTTTAACCCCAAAGATCTTTAGTTTATGCTAACAGCTTAGCATAAACTTAAACACAGTTTCATTTGATGTTTGGAGCCATACAAAACTTTCTTACTTTCTTTACTCTTGGAACATACAAAATTAGAAGAGTGACAGAAGAAATTGGAAAGACTAGAGTAAGGCTCACAGTTATGATGCCTCCTATGGGAATTTAAAGCACATTTGTAATTTCCTTAGAGATCTCTCCTCAAAGCAAGATTTCAGATGCACGTACACCTATAATGGGCTCTGTAGAGACATTTACTCTAACAAATTGTGCACTAATTCTTGTGGGATTGGAATCTCCTACCCTTGCTGTTGAGTCATACTTACAGGCTGTGACAAACTCTAGCAACTTGTAAATTCCACAGGGTAATTCCACAGTGCACAAACTATGTACAGATTATTGAAATTTATTTAGATAACATTCTCTGGCCTTACCTACAAAAATACCCAAAAGATGACAACTGGTTTTCTGCCATAAGGAGGAAAGAATGTTCTTAGCAGAATCAATTATTTAAAACATAATTGCCAGCCATTTAGTTAACTAACAACTGCACCTATTCAGTCTCCTACCATGAAAAACTTCCCTGTTTGCTTTGTATTTCTCTTGGCAGAAAAATAGGAGAAATTTCTCAGCCACTCTAGACTTTGGGGGACTACCCTTTGGGGCACTACCATAGATGGTAACCAAGATGATCACAACTCGGATGGAGAAGGATTACATAGAGAGGCAAACTGTAGCTTCAAAGCTGCCTATATTCTGAAGTGAGAAAAGGAACTGTTCTTGATCTTCCTCTCTTGACTTAACAATTTTGTTTAATATGAGATTGCCTATTTCTGTTGTGCTAACATGGCATACGTAAAACTCTAAGAAGTATTAATTATACCCTTATTGCCTTACAAACTGCTCCTACACTAAGGATAAGGAAAAAAACGTATATTTTTACTACATCACCCACATCATTAGTAGAAATTTCGCTGAAGGAAATGTCTAGTGGGCTTAAAGGCTTGATTGATTTCCTATACATTGCAACTTCTGACTGACATTCTGGTACTCTGTGTCAAAAGATCCCTATAAAATGTCGCATTCATCTTATTTATCCCTGAATAAATCAATACCAAAGCTTTTGATTACATTTTTAATTTTTGTGATCAAAATTATTCTCCTTGCTCTCAGTCTCCAGAGAAAAATACGGTCTTATAGGACGGCTAACAAATTAACCAATAGCACAGTAAGACTAGCACTAGTCTGTTATTTCATCATAGAGAAGCTTGTGCTAAGTTTTCCTATATAACCACCGTTGAGCAGTTTATGACAGTCATAGACTGACACAACAACCTTTTTGCACAGGGCAGGAAATGTATACTTACTCTTTGAGAGACTCTTCTAAACGCTGGACTCGTAGAAATGCTTCATCTCTCTCTTCATTGGCTAATCTAAGCCTTGCCATGACAGCCTCATCACGTTCCCGTTGAGCAGAATAAACTTCTTCCACCAGAGCTGCAAAAGTAACCAGTGTGTTTAACAAACAAGTTTGACAGGGAGAGACACTATTAGATGCACTTACATGGGCCTTTGCCAGCGTCTCCTAAAATCAACATTTTTCCACTGACCTCGGATTACTCTGGATAAGGTCTATATTACTTTTCAGACACAACACTAAATTGCTGTTGATTGCTAAAATGAATACTTTAAGGAATGAAATAAAGCTATGTGTTTGCAAATTCACCCCTGTATAATCAAACAGGGCAAGGAAGTGATTTGCTTTGCATTCTGAACACTTGGTTAATGGAAAAGTAATTCTTAAAGCTCAGAATCCTATGAGACACTAGTAGGTTTCTTCTAGGACATAGAGTTAAAAGTAATGATCCATTAAAATTACTTCTACCATCACATTGCTTCCTGTGAGGGTGGCACACTGATATTAAATATTAAAAAATCTAGTATTTTCATAGTCTGTCTCTGGTATCACAAGACTGGCACAGCTGGCATCTCTCCTTCTCTGTCAAGCCTTTACTTTATTGTGTAATATAGTTATATTATCTGTTACGGCATACATGGACCTTGGAGCATTAGGTGCCAATAAACTAAGATTTACTGTCTACCCTTGGGAGCAAGCTAACACCTTCAAGTCATTCCTCATCCCGAGCTTACATTTTCTTCCTGCCTCTCCCCTGTCAATATGTCTAACACCATCTCTGGCACACCGCCAGAATCCTTACCTCGACCCTGCCTCCACTAAAATCTTTATTCATACTTTCATCATTTCCCTCCGCAATACTGCAAATCTCTCCTCACAGTCATCATAAAACCCTGCAGTCGAAATGTCTAGGGGCTTTCAGGATGCCATAGTAAGACCGCTGTCACTCCAAGACAGAGGGCTATATTCTCTCTGATTATCACAGGCACCTCCAAAAAACTCAACCGAGGTTTGTAGGTTCCAGAATTCTCCATGCTCCCCTTCTAGTCTGCCAAGCTGGTGTTTAGCCACAGTCTCCTAACACCATGCTACAGTCTCTTTCAAATTTTGGCAATTTTTTTCTCAAGAACCTTCTGTATTAAGCCATTGCTGCTGGGCTTCCTTACCCCCTTCAGAAGTCTGCTCCTCTCTAAACCACTGCTCAAGTCATTAAGTTAAGATCTCAAAGAAAGGCTTCCTCTTTGCTTTAAGCTAGAGCTTTTATCCCCTCCATTCTTGCCTCAATTTACATCAACTTTGTTGCCTTTATGGGTTAGTTTACTCTTACTTCACCTTTGTACATTATTGTACAAAAACTTCACAGTGTGAATTTCTGTGAAATCACTTTATGGTTTTTCACAGAATGGAATAATAGGAACATAGTAGTACATTTCAGCAGCAGCTATATCTCTGGCACAAAATACACATTATCAGTACCAAAAAAAACCACCCGAAACACCCCAATCAACTGAAATACAAAAAGTGGTAAGTTTCAGCACAGTTCACAAGCAGCTCAGATAACCAGGGATGTAAGATGAGTGAGAAGAACAGAAAAAGAATGTGGAGAGATGAATTAGGAAGATGTTCAAGGTAGGCAAGATGTTCTAGGAAGGCAGTCCTCTTGTCCTCAAGCTGGGGAGAAGAGCGTTACTGAGGAATAAGGAATCATTTTTTGCAAGTCTAGCAAAAGGTTGCACAATAACAGCAGGCTGGACAAAAGACGACAGGGAAAGTCTAAACGTCACTTCTGGCAGTGCAGTCCCTCCTCTCACAAAAATCTGCAGAGGAGCTGCAAGCCTAGTCACCAGGCCAGAGATCATAGATGTAACAAGTTGTGTCCCAACAGAAGAAAAAAAAAAAAAAAAAAAAAAATGTTTTTCAGCATCAGAAGCACAAATCTTGAAATGTACAGAAAATTCTCTTCTATTTGAGCATTTACTTGTTCCACAAGAATAGTGCCTTTTTTCTTGAAGATCTATTCACCCTGTTTGCAACAAGAAAGCTTTGCTTGATGTGGAATGGAAAAACTAAGGCATAAGTAAAGCAGCTGCAAAACTGCATGCACACAGATTAGTAGTCATGAGTAAGTTTGCAGCACTTGCAGAGGATGAGTCTGATATCTGCAAAGGTAGGTGGCTCAGCAAGAACATACGTTCTTGCAACAAATTGTATGGGGTGGGCTGTGCACTTCAGCTCACCAGACTTCCACTTAGGTTGCTGAGATCTGGGATGGCAGGAAGCTAGTGCCTCAGCACTGACTGCCTGGGTAAACTAAAATACAACTTCTATGTCCCGGCTGGATCTGGAATACACAAGCAGTTTAATTATGTATGGTAACTATTACCTATCTGTAGTTTAATATATTTGTTTACTCTAGTTTTTCCAGTAAATTATGTCAGTTTATCTAGCATCATGCCAGAGACACTGCACAGAGAACCCTTTCCATAAAGCTGCAAGGGGAAACATTATGCAATTTTCATAATGAAAACAAATGCTGGAATGAATAGAAAGCCGTCTAAAATAACTGAAGATTTGGCACTTATTTCTGTTCTGGGATTAATTAGATTCCAGATTCGTTAACTTCTTTGAGTGCATCCCTTCTTCTGTCAGACCCTATAACGTGCCCACCTCAGCACAGAAAACCACAATTTGCTGACTGCTACAATGTATGTTGAGCAAACAACTACACTTAGAGGGATTTTGTTTTGGTCTATCTAATTCCCTCTCTGAGGAACTATAACCAGTGGTACTAATGAGTATACAGGCTTTTAAAAACCAAATTATTGCCTATTTGTCCTTAAACCAAAGTAATATATATATATAACAGTATGAAAGCATTCAGAAAAAGAGAATTTTAAAGTTATTTAAACATCCTGCTTATCTGAAATCTTACCATCTCTGATAGCAGCCCAGAGGCTAATTGCCTTGAACAGTGAACCCTTCCCCCACCCAAAAGTCCGTTACAAAATACTGTCTTTTAACTATTGGCTATGGAAAAGTGACTTAAATTGAGCAACTCTTTCTTGTTACTTTCTTATCCTTCCACTAAATTAAGACATTGGAGTAAATATCCCAATGACCAGATCCACCAACTACATTAAAAAAAATTTATAATAGTTCCGATTCAATTACAAGTGTTTGGCTTTTGCTTCTATTTTTAAAAGTAATATTGCAAGTTAAATTTTTTATGCTAAAGCAGATCAGGGAGAGTGTAGAAAATCATGTAAAATGCCTGCATGGTTATCTAAGTTTAAAAAAAGAAAAAAAAAAAGAAAAAAAAAGATACTTAGCTATATGGCATTTCAATACCATGTAGCAATACTGACACTGACCACAAGAAATTACTAATTTAGAAAACACCTAACTCATCTAACTCATTTTAATGGTCTCCAGAAGGCTAACTCACCTGATTCCTTTACCAGACAAAGCTTCTGCTGAATTTAGGTTAGACACTTCTGTTATCCAATACCTATACATTTCTGACTCTATTTAATATTTTACAAATTCCTTTTTTTAATACTGTATGGAATATTATAACAGTTACACAATTGCATGTAGTCCAAAGTATGATGTTGTTAACAATAACGTTCACCATTCAGATTGAACGATGAATGAGTCACAAGTAAAAGTTCAGGACCATAAGAATCCCCAGATTCTTCAAATATGGGTTGCAATGCAGCAGCAAACCAAAACATTCATATTTAGGAAAGCATGTGAAATATAAGCTGTCCAATGAAAAGTTTATGAGAGAGTAACGTAAAAATCCTCCATATTAAAAAGAGTAAAGAATATCCAGATTATCATCCCTATGCTTCTTAAAAATGCCAGGCTAAAATTAACTGAGAGTAACAACTCAGGCTCCTAAGTCCCATTCAAGATATGGCATGTCCAGCAAAATACCAGCCCCATACTCGCACACTGACTTGATGCCTGATCCAATGAAAAAAGTGATCCAGCTACTTAGTCACCAACTGCTCTGGTCGACACGACGAGGTTTTTCTTGGAGACCTTCCAATGGCGCACCAACCAACTCTATCCTGTTTATCTTGAGGCCTGACCAGCAAGAAACACAAATTCTTATAGAACTCATGTTCCAAGCAAGAAAATGACACACAAAAATGAAGTATGAATAGTCAAGTATTAAGCTAAAATGAATTGTGTCATTTACTAATTCAAATACATATAATGACATTCAAGAGTTAAAATATTTAAATCCTACAGCTCTAAATTAAGAAAAAAGTATTATTTTCCAATGCTTGCAAACATTATAATATATACAAATATGACATTACTATTTAGTTGCATAAACTTTATTTGCTTTGGAATAATTTAATAACATCTTTCTCCTTCTAACCAAAACCCCTGCATACTCTAAAAGAGCTCTTTATTTTAAAAGAATCATTATGCTAAACTCATCAATTCTAAAACATTTTTAGTTTTTAGTAAAGAAAACAATTGTAAACAGAGAGCTTTTGTAAGGTAGATAGCTATTACAAAGTTCACTTAGAAAATCAATATAGCATTTTAGCTGGAATTTGCTCATTAAACACCCACAGCTCTAATGCAAATTATGATGGAATGAATAAAGCAAATACATATGCTTCTTTCTTTTTATTAAATGTAAAATCTACTGTTAATTGCATCTGGTATGTCATATAAACTTTTCTCCTTAACTATTAAATGGAAGCTTTTACAAAAGTCATTAGAGATTCTCTTTCTTTGACTTGTATAAATTTCAATATTTGTTCAGTAAAGGTTCACAGCAGTTAAATTACATTAACAAATATTATTAGCTACTATGTAAGCCAACTAAGTAAAATACTTATATTGCAGGTAAAACAAATCAATGGGTGTTTACAATAATATTTGGATATGTCCATTTTTAAACAAGCTTATCAAATATCATGTAATTCTTAGTCAAATGAGAGAGACTCAAAGTAGATTTTTTTCTTCCCAAATACTCAAATTTGTTTAGTAAGCTAATTGTTTTCTAATATGGGCAAAAGTAAATATGAAGATGATGAACCATACTGAGTATGAG